GGGGGGGGGGGGGGCTTTCCGGTATGATCGATGTTCTGGTGATTTTTGGAAGCCCTTTTCAAGGTGCGGGACCCTCTTTCGGGCAAGAGGGTCGCTAGGCTTTTTGAGTTAAGGCATGGGCGTACCACCGTTTTAAACAACCATTAAAAAAAAAAAAAACTGCCGATACCACCCATTTTCAGACTCTTGCTGGCATATGTAATGGCACGCTAGTGAACAAATTGTTATGACCAATAACATTATTGAAACGTGAAGATATTGGAAAGGTCCAGTAAGCCAGACTTTAAAAATAATAATAATTGTAGCAAGCAAACTTCTAGCTTTCTCTGCCCTGTAAGTCTGTATTTTCCTTCTCTGAAGCCCAAGACACTTCTGGCTCCTCTTCTCTCCCATAATTATCCCCAAGAAGAAGGGGAGGCAGAGAGATCCATATCCTGGTTATTCGGACACACCAAGGGTTGTGCAACCAGCACAGATCCTTCCAGAAATCAACATATTGGCTATTCCTTCCAAGAAACTGGGGAGAAGGAAGCATGCACTGCCACCTGACAATTCAAAATTCTCTCTCTAGCTGGGCATTTCAATAATTGTTATGATTACAGTGCATATCTCTAACCAGGGCACAGGAAAGAGTGAAAGCAGCAAACATCCTGCTGGAACGTTTATTAAACTTTGTGGATTAGATTGCACTTGCATCAGAAAGCAAATGGATACCTGTGGCTAGTGCTGACTTAAATCACGTTCTATCAAAGTTGCCGGCTTGAGTATACAAACAGTTGCTTGGACTGGAAATATACAGTACTAGCTCAATACCCGTGCTTTGCTACAAAACTATGTGGTCAGGCTTAGTTTTGGGGGAGGAAAATAAGGGGGGGGGTTCTGCCTCTGCCTATCAGCATCCATCAGTATTCATCTGGCTAGTGTTCTGTCAGTGTGAGTGAGCTGAAGGCTGTTTGGAAAGTGAAACAGTATTTGCTGTGAGCAAGAAGGAGACAGCAAGAAGCCTGGGCATGGCTTAGCTCAACTGTTCTGCAATAAAGCTGGTTGCTGCTGTGAAACTAAAACTAAAAACTAAAACTCCTCTGCTTGGGTTTTGCATTTGGAACAGATTTCTTTTCAGGTGGGGAGGGGGAGTAGAACTCCTTAGCATCAGAGCATGTTAATAATAATATACGAAATACTCATGCTCTGATGGTCATTTCTAAAAATCCTTTCTTAGTGATCACCTAGAAGCCAAGAGGAGCATACGTGCCAAATTTCAAGTTTGTAGGCTTTACGGTTCTGGAGATTTTGTGATGATACATGAGTGGTATTTCGCTTTTATATAGAGAGATTTAAGATTTATGGTACAGACGCAGTCCAGAAACTGTTCCTCAGCCTTTCTCTGGAGATGCCGAATTGTCATACTGCATTTGTGTGCAGTCAAATATTTTAAAGACCAGCATTTCTTTAGATCAGCCCTGACCACAGAGGGGAAGGAGGAAGAGACCAACAGGGAGGGAGTAGGAAAACTATTCTTATTCCTTTCGTAGCTAATCATCAACTCCATCCCTAAAACACAAGAGCGGGAAGCTGGAAGGAGATAATCTCTCCACACCACGTTTCTGCAGTTTACTCACTGTCATTCATACTGCTAGGACTTCATTTGCATTCCAGCCCAGGAAGCTATGTTAGTGCCAGGTCTCCCAATCCTAAACATGTGGATTCATAACACAGACTAGAGACTTTGCCGGATCAGCCAGAAAGCAAGTGGAGGGATTCTCAATTCAAAGGCAAGATTTCTAGGAAAGTGTGAACCCTTGTCCTGTTTAAAAATTAACCAGGAAGTGGGAACAGGATGGCTTTCATGATTTATTTTTGTTTGGTTCCATACCAAAGAGCATCCCTTTGTCAAGAAGAATGCTAAAGAAGTATTTGCTTATGAAGCTGTGATAGCCTTTATTATCTGTATCGAGGATAACACTGTTTCATGCTAAAAACAAATTATCTAGCCATCTTGGCAAAGGATCCACTTTGAACGTTTAGTATATTGGGTCTTTTGAGTAGGCAAAGGATCCCCTTTGAAAGTTTAGTAAATCGGGTCTTTTGAGTAGTGGAAGAGTTTAATGGCATCTGAAAAATAGATTTCTTGCAACTTCAGCTTAGATTTATGCTTTCATGGGCCCAAGTTCAGTTTGCCATTAATCAGATTTATGCAATGAGTATGCAACTCTGGAAAATGCTAAAGCTTCCATGTTGCTTTTCTGTGGCTGGATTTATACTCGGAACTATGGGTTATTGAATAAGTCTCAGTGTCCAGCTTTCCACAGAATACTAAACCATTAAATGGTAGTTTACAAATCACAGTGATAGATTAGTCATCAAGAAAAACAAATTATACACCACAACACCCATTGTGATATTATGCAACCTCTGTCAAAAAAACAGTAAAAAACACAGAAAAACACTTTCTTATTAGCAATCAGTATTTCTAGTCTTATCTTTTAGTCTATCAACAGCCCCAGAAACTGCAGTTACTTCCTAATAAGGCTTTTATTAGCAATTGTCCTGTCTTTTCAATATAGCTAGGAAAGGGGACAGGTTTGTTAGTTTCTGTTTGCAACCTTCATTTTTTTTCTACATTTTTCCCTTTTCTGAATAAGAAAAGAAAGGCATCCTCACCTCACAATGCCTTTTGACTGGCTAGGAGCTAGCTATCTACTGGGCTTGGATGTGTCCCTAATCTAAGAGATGTGAAGTGCAAAAAAGTCACATGAAACATTTAATTAGTCTAATTTTGATTAAAACAAGACCCAGCAAGCTTTTAAAGGCCAATAAGCACCTGTCTCTCATTACCCTCCATTCTTATGTATTCTCCATATTTTACTTAGGTGGTATTACAAGACTTCTGTGTAATTTTTACTCTCATTCATTCATTGTTCGATTTTTAGCCTGCCTTTATTTTTGGTGAATCAATCCAGTATACATACAGTACCTGGCAAAAGACATTTATCTGGCCTTTGGCTCTAGATTTCTTCTAGGTTTCAAGGTGCAAATTCACACAGGTCTATTTCACTTGTTTTGAGCAACTGCACCCACTGGAGATTGGTGTGTGCAACCACTGTTGATTGGACTTTCATATCCCCAAAACCTGACAACCAGTTCATGTACTGTATTTGGCGTGCAAGTCATCAATCAAGAAATCCATGAAAGACGAATTTCTGGCACTCAAATCATGATCCCTGCTGATTCTGACATTTGGGTTCATATCCTGTTTTGATGGTAGGGACATGACTCTCCTGCTACCCCCCGCCCCCCTTTGCCCTGTCTCCATTGTATCCTTTCTAACACCTTGAGAAGTAGATTGGCTTAAGAAATAGGGGTTGTGTTTTTGCATAATATGCTAATCAAAAATAAACAAAACATGGCTGAAAGCATAAGGTAGCTTGTTTGATTTATGAATCATTGTTTCAGCATGTTGTGCAAGCACTTACATAAACTGATTTCAAATCATCCATTCATGGTTGAATAAGGATTTGAATGTGAATGTTCTCTGCCTGACACATTAACCCATATACCACACTGGCTTTACCGAGACGAGGCATTGATTCCATATCTCCTATGCCTTCTTTAACGCAGCCACTTTGAAAAAAAATGTAAATGTAAAAAATGTAAATAATAGGTAAGTAAATAATAGAACTTTTGTACACTCTTTCAGCATCTTCTGTCAGAAGCATCTTTAGCTATGAGACTCAAAATCACTGTCAGGGAAGGACCAAATGCACTTATAATCAGTAGTTGAAGTTAAGTTTATGAACTATTTAATCCATGCCAAAGTAATTCTAGCCTTTGGGGGAAGAAGGGTGTTGGGAAAAAAGACAATCTGAACTCAAACTCAACTGAAATAAAGATTCCTAGCCATGGCATTGCCCATCAGGGGGCACCCTGAGATGCTTCTGTTCCACTTCCTGTTCCTGGTGGGGTTAGTGGTTATACTACTGTAAATGCACAGCCTAGGATCCAAGGAAGGCAGATCAAACAGAGAAACCTTTGTCATGCAGAGCCTTCCTAGAAATGACCTGGTCTCTATGGCATGGGAATAAAAACTCTCCTACAACTCCCCCTCCCAAAATAAACCTTCTCTTCAAAAGGACTCCTTACAATATGCCTTCACACTCCCAATTCCACCCCCGCCCCCACATATACACCCACCCCAAACCCTTAGGGCAGGAGGTCCATGGACGTAAAGTAGTAGTAGAGAAAAGCAACCAAGATGGAACAGATAGGACTGGCACCA